ATTCCGACGCAGATCGCCGTCGCACCGCGCACGACAGCCAGTGGCACACTGCCTCGGGTCTCGCCGCAGCAGCTTCATTCGCTCAAACCGCTCGACAATCAACATGCAAAGCAGCCGACACCCGAAGTGATGCGAAAGACGTCGAGTGCTAAAGCACCGGCGCACCACGGGCCCGAAACCAATGCCAGCCCCAGCGCACGAAGTAGCACGACACCGCAGCGGCCTGGGACAGCGCCAGTGCATGCGTCGACGGCACCAGCACATCCGTCGCAGGCGCCCAAGTTAGCGCCATTGCCGCGGCGAAGCATAGCATTGGGCCAAGTCGTCCGCATGCACCGACCCGGTATTATGATGCAGCTGCTTGGGCAGTGGCAAATGTGGTGTTGTCCTAGACGACGTGGAGCTCAAGCGCCCCGAGACCATCGATACTGTCATCAAATACCTCCGTACGCAAGCACTGCACGCGGCTTGGTTCATCTCTCTATGCGTAGTGGGTCAAGTCGAGTTGCGCAAGTTTCGCGACCTCTTTGATCACATTGACGTCGAGTGGGCAACGTGGCATGAGGCTGTCGTGGCTCATCCTCAATTGTCTAGTCGCGCCGGAACCATCGACTACGACGAGTTCTTTGACTTTATCGAAGACCGACGCACCAAGTTTTCCGACAATTTGTTTCGCCAAATCGGTACAAATCTCGCCAAATCATTGCAAAAGGCCCACGCTCTAGTGTTTTCTGGGCGGTAGACCCCAAGTACGACGGCACGGTACGTGCTATTCATGGCATGAAATTCCGTGAATCCCACATTCTCATAGTTGGATTTTGAGCACTTTGTGCATATTTTGACGTCGTACTGCATGCGGTCCCGGGAAGAAATTTTGCAGTGTAAACCTCCCTTTCGTGAAAGCGATGAAAATGGTGAATGGATATAGTCGCATTCGATACTTTTGACGACGATGCCAGCGGGTCCCTCGACGAGGTATTCCGCCTTTTGACGATTTCTACTGAGTGCGACGTAGCTTGAGTTTACAGAGCTCGCAAAGATGATGCACGACGGCAAGCCTGTGTTTGCGTCCAACTTTAACAAGGCGCTGGCTGAATTCGACACGTAACACAACTTGTCCACTTTGTTCGATGACAATTGGCAGGCACGGCGACGGCACGATCACCTTTGCGGCGTTTCAGCAAATCAGCAAGCGGTATCCGATGGTCCTCTTCCCCGCGTTCCGGCTCCAGGACCAAATGCAGCGCATGAGCCTCGGGCTCAACCACTGGCACAAGATCCACATGCGCTACTTTGACGTGATCTCGATGGAGGTTTACCGCGTACGACGCCCTCTCTGTCGATACGCAGCTTACCCCACGCGTTAGAAAAAACACAATGGCGCGGCGCCGCCGATCCCGACGCTCAAGAAGATCAAACTCCTCTTTGGCGTCGGCACGTTTGACGTTTACCAGCCGCAAACCTAATCGTCGTTGTTTGAATGTATCAATGTATCAGCCCGATCTATGTCAACACCAAAACTCGGAAAATTCAAACAAAATTCGTTGGTTGACAGCTCAGCAGGGTTACCGCTTCATGTACATGCTTGACATGGGGTGCACGGGACCGTCGCCAGCGACGTACTCGAAATACTTGATGGGCTCGGGGCCTCGAAGCGGGAGCGACTTGATCTCGTCGACATGGCACCAAGTGGCCCCCGCGCTCTCGTAATCGGGAATCGACTTGGGCCGCTGGTTGACGTCCACCGGTTCACCGAGAAACACAAACCGCATGCGGACGTACGACCGGCCGTCGCTGTCGGTCTTGGGGTGGTACTCGAGCCGCAGCAACCCCGTGAGGCGAATGTCCAGGCCGGCTTCCTCTTTGGTTTCGCGGAGCGCGGCTTCGTCGGGCGTCTCGCCAGCGTCGACACGGCCGCCGGGCAGCCAGTAGCCCGAGCACGCAAACTCTTGGACGAGGAGAAACTGCTTGGTGAGCGGGTGCCGGACGACGACAAGCGCAAAGCAGTAGAGCGACGACTCGGGCGCGCGAAACTCGCTCGGGAGCTCGCCGCGACCGGGCGGTCCGTGGGCGTTGTGCATGTGCACCTGGAACGGCGTCGACCGGTGCTGCTTGGTGCTCGACGATGTTGCGCAGATCGGGCACGGAACGTCCGACTTGTTTTTTTCGTTGATGTGGAAGAGGGGAACGTGCGTCCAGAGCGTGTCCTCGGTCATACCGCCCTTCCCGCAGAGCGGGCAATTGTACGGCCCGCGGTGGCGCGACGAACTACTGTCCTCGCGCGCGATCTTGGTGATGATCGTGCTCGCGTCTTCGATCGCGCTCGTGACCATGGACGCGCCGTGCGTAAAGCACTCGTAGCGCAAGCGCGCATCGTCCGAGACGCGTGCGCTAAAGACGCAGAGGAAGAGCTGCCGACTCATGCGGCGCAGCGTCGAGAGCATGTTGAGCAGCGACGGCATCGAGTAGGCGGACCCAACGCGCAGCACGACGAGGTGGACGCTCGCCTGCGTCGTCGTCATGGCCTGCAAGAGCACCTCGGGCGCCTCGTGGCCCAAACAGACGTGGACGCGCAGGCCATGGCGGTTGCACGCCGAAATGCAGGCCTCGTCGAGCGAGTCCAGCGGCGGCGCGTCGCGGGCGCCGTGCGGATGCCCGCCATTCAAGCACCGCACCAAGATGCTGCTCATCCCCGAGTGGCCGCTGCCAGCCGGTTAACCGATAAGAAACCGGTTACCAACCGGCACGCGTGGCAGCCTCCGGTGCCAACATGAACGCGAGATGATGTATTTGTACTTAGAGCGTCGGCGAGCTCCTCCTACCCTTTCTTTCCAAACACCGACTCGTACTGCGGGCGAAAGGAGGCTGTTGGCAGCGCTGTTGTCGTCGGGACTATTGCGGGCTTGGGACTGTTGCTCATCGCGTTGCTCATCACGTGCGTACTCGGCGGCAACGCCTTGAGCGGCGACGCCACGACCGGCTTTTTGATTTGCTCTCGGATCACCACCACAGGTTGCTTCTTTGGGGGCTCGACAACCGACTTCTCTTGGGTCGTCGGCGCTGCCACGTCGGCGTCGTCGACGCGCTTGCGCTTGAGTACGGACACGTCGTCGACAACAACGGGCAACGGCGGCTCGGGCTCGACGCGCAGCACCGAGACATGGTCTGCGGCGTCCGGCTGGAGCGTTCGGTTCGTGCGCGGGTCCATCAGCGGCACCTTGGGCAGGCGACTGTACACGAGCGTGGTCGGCGCTAAGTACACTGCGTGAGCCTTTGAGATCACGACGCGTTCGTACCCAGCGGATTCCAAACCGAGGAGCGCGGACACGCTTCGTTCCAGCAACTGCCGTCCAAGTCCTACGCGTCGCCATGAGACAGCGACATCAAGGGAGGGGGTCGGTGCCTTCTCGACGCCACAGAGCGTGCAGGACGCCACCAAGAAGAGGTCGATCGTCGGCGAGAGCTCGTCGTGCAATTCCGTGACCTGCGTGTACTGCATGTCGAGCGCCGCCTGCCAGTCGCGGAGGTTCGGGCGGTGCTTGATTTTGTCCCGTCGCCGCATCACGTGCTTCTTGACTTGGTCCTGGAACATGGCGTAGCGCGTTGACGTGATGCCCTAAGTGATATGCTAGCATTGCGTGCAACAGATGCTCAAGTATACCATGAGGACAGCGCCTTCCGGGAGGTGGAGGCCCTTGGCGTTGCGGTTGTTGCCGTGGTTGGTGGTCGTGCGACGGCTGCGCTGCACCACGTCTTCTTCCATGAGGACGAGGTCGGACTTGCGAAAGACCTTGAGCGTCTTGGAGATGTTGTCGACCTCGACCGTGCACGTCTCGCGGTCCGCCTTCTTGACAATGCCACTGCCGCCGTTGGCCGGCAAAAGCACCTTGCGCTCGATCCATGAGACGCCATAGTGGCCGCGCCGACGAGAGAGCGCGCCGCCCTTGCGCTCGTCGTCTTGCGAGTCGATGTTCGAGTCGTCGGCGGCGGCCACGTCGCTGTCGCCAGCGTTGGTGCCGGTCTCGTCAATCTCGCTCGAGTCGGGCTTCGACGAGGGCGGGAGCAGCGCGATGGCGTCGACGCTCTCGAGCAGTGTGAGCTCGTACGCGCGCTTGGCCGTCTTGGGCGCCATCGGGTCGTCGACCTGCAGCTGGACCCAGCCGTTGCCCGACTTGAGCACGATCGCCGGCTGGCCAGAGTACTTGCCGACGTTGATGCGGACGCGGCGGCCGATCCACATCTCCGTGTCAATGTCTGAGAGAAACGTGCCCTGGTCCTTCTTCTTGGGCTACGTTCAGAAGAAAAGATAAGGATAGGGTGTGGAGAGACGGCGGAAATGTGGTACCTTGCGGCGGGCGTCGGCGGCCGCGGACTTGGCCGACGCCGGGTCGTAGTCGTTGTCGTCGTCGTTGTCCCCATCCGAGTCGGCTTCGTCGTTGGTCGTCGCACTCTTCTTTGCATCGTCGTCGGTTGCTGTCGCGTCGTCCTCGAGCAGACGAAGAAGCTTGCGCTTGACGATGCGCGTCACGGACGGGTCGTTGGTCGGCTGCACCTTGTACCCGGACGGCAGCACCTGTCATCGTCGCGTTCGTTAACGCCATATAAAGATTGGAGGTACTAGCTACCTCGAGGATCGTGCAAGCCGAGCCGTTGAGCGGCTTGAGTTCCTTGTTGCGCTTGGCTGCGTCGTCGAGTTTGAGCGTGACGCGCGAGCCCTTGGCGAAGGACGACTTGGCGTCGTGCATCTCGTCGTCAGCGTCGGCATCGTCATCGGCGTGCATGTGATCGTCGTCGTCGTCAGCGAGCTGCTGGTCGAGATGCAGCCCGTCGGCTTGGGCGTCGCGGAGTGGCCGGAGGCCCGACGCACGGAATGTGAGCACCTTGCTGTTCTCGAAGCGGACGCGGAACCACGTGTTGGGGTGGCGCGGTGTCTCGACGATTGTGCCAATCTTGTCAACCATTTGCGGCAGGCGCTGCTCAACGTCGGCCGTGCGTTGGACGACGACCTTGACGTTGCGCCGGAGGCCGTTCGTCTCGGCGGTGCTCACCGCGTGCGGGCGGGCCTTGGACGGTGTGCCCATCTCCGATTGCGCGTCGTACTCGTCGTTGTCTTCCCCGCCGCTCTTGGCCGACAAGGACGACGACCGCGTTCGCGCTCGGCGTGTCGGCGCAGGCAACGGGCTCAATGGCGCCGATGCATTGCTCGTCGTCGCAGCGTCCGAGCCAATGTCATCGGCCTCGTCACTCTCCATCATGCTGCGGAGCTCTTGCTTGGCCGTCGCTGCCATCGCCGATACGGTAGCCATCGCCGCTCCTCGATCTATGGTCGCACTGCTGCAGCAACGAAAAAAACACTCGCGACCGAGGTCCGGGTGCACCTTTTTTTAAATACCACCCCTAACGGTATTTTATTATCTAGAGGTTTGTATGCGCGCGAGGTGCGAGGCCGGCGCATCAACGACCCTTTCATAGTCGATACCCTACCCCGCAGCGCAAGTGAAACCTCGCACATTCGATACTGCACCAAGATTCTATTTTGGCCAGCGCCGAGCACAGCCTGCTGGATCGTGGCCACCACGGGCCGGAGCGGCCATACTTCGGCGCCAGCGCTGCAAACGATAGTGAATATGCATGCGTGATACCTAGGTGCATGCGGCCCACCGAAGCAACGAGGGCGGAGGTGCACTTGGTGCGGCGAAATGTAGCGCGGCGAGCAGCGATCGCTGACGCAACCTGGTCGCTCAGCGCGCGATGCTGGTCGTGCAACCGCGCCTGCTCATCTCTACTGAAGATGCTGCTGCAGTAGTATTAAGCAGAGAGTAGACTGCTCTGTCAACGAGAGGCATTATGCGGCGGTTGCAGTGCCATCGCTCGCCACGCCGCCTGACGCGCTGGATGGACGTTGCACACGATATTCTATCTCTCAAATAGTGTTGAATGGTATGGATTACGTAATAGTGTGGACCACACTATCAATAGTGTGGCAGCAGCCGAGAATGGTGTGATCCTGACAAGAGTCAATTGGACCGAAGGATTCGTTGTGGGAGGTACGACAGGGATCTTTCGCTCAGTTCCAAAATCCTTTGGCCGCCGCAGCATGGACGAGACCGCGTGGCGGGACATGGCCGCGTCCGAGTCGATCTGGAGTCGCTTGCCATCGCGCGAGGTCGTCCAAGACGCCATCTACAACGCGATCCCGACCAAGGAGACAGTCATGATGGGCATCCACGCGGTGCCCAACGCGGCCATGGCCGCGCCGAGCGCGATTGCCGGCGCCTTCTCGAGCTGCTTTAGCCGCGCCCGGCGCATGCAGTTTGACCAAGACCAGAAGCGTTCGCTCCTTAGCAACTTGTACCATGACGAGGCGCGCGTCAACATTCGCGACGCCGAGATGGAGAATGCGGCCTTGGAGCTGCGCCGGCGGATCCAAAAGATGGAGTACGAGAAGCACCGGCGCATGGAGCTCGACCAAGAGCTTGGCTTAGCCAAGAAGCCACCGGCTGGAGACGACCCCGTCGACATGAACCCAGCTACTGAGCCCGAGTTTACGCCACTCAAAGTGTCGGATATCCGCAAGATGTCGGTCGACGAGCTCTTGAGCATGGACCACGCCGAGGCAGCGACAACGGCCAACCTCGTAGCACCCGCAACGTCATCGCTCGAAGGCAGCCGCTTGCGCAAATGGCTGTCCGAAGTCGACACGAACAAGAGCATCGAGTACACGTCGTACGCGACGAGCTTTGAGAAGCATGGGTTCCAGACGCTCAAGGATCTTTCGCAGCTGGACGAGGAGGACGTCGAGCAAGCGCTCACTGAGATTGGCATCACCAAGTTTGCCCACCGCGCACGCCTCCGCAAGGCCATTCTGCGCCTCGGCGCGACCCCATAGGATATGTTTTGATCGTATATACGAGTCCTTTGTATTTCAACAGGCGTGCTCTTACGCAGCTCAAACTCACCACTTCACCGCGTTCGCCACCGAATAGAATGTCAACGGATGGCAAGCTGCTCCGTTTTAGGCCCAAAGTGCAAAAGAAAGATATGCGCTGCCGCTTGTATGTCCATATGTATACTTAAGATGACATAGACGTGTTCCCAACTCGCATTTTCCTTGTCGTATCGTTGTTTCATAAATCGAGAAAAAGAAATTCGCGGAGCAAATTTATCGGGTATCGTCCTTTGGGGATCGATCCCTGTTCATACTACTCTCGGCGAGAAGTGGCCTAACCACTAACGTTAGACCAGTTGTGCTGGTCGATTTCGCACCGTAGTTGTGGCAATGTCAATGTTACGACGTGACAAACCCAAAATATCACTCCGAACTGGCGTTTTCACGTGGTTTTGCGTGTTTACTGTAGCCATCGATAACCCATCAGTACAGGTACCGTATGTAGACCATCAGACTGGTTCCGTGCCGCCATCGCAGTGAGACTCAAGAGCCACCAGAATCGACCCCCGGAAGGACAGTGCCCCACGACTCCCTCTGTGTGATTTGCTGTTCATTTCGTTGAATATCGTACTGTGACCGAATGCCAAGCGACACAAACGACCGCCGCAATATGGTCCAAAGTTGTTCGTTCTTGACTCTCTTGTATGTTGGTTAAAACCTACATTTGTGCTCACCAGCACGTCGACGCGGCTCCGTCACCTGCGCCGTCGTCATGAACCTATATCAGATTGCCGTATATTCTTCTCACTGCGCACGTTATCGTCGTCTCGACGCAGGCAAGATCGCGCTCAACCATGCTGCGTCAAGGTATACAGCACTAAGAACGTAGTGGAAATGCAATGAATTTGAGATTGTACTCGGCGCCGCATCATGACGGAGAGTCCTACTTGGAGTGGCATTACGCTCACGCAGGAGGTATCGAGAACGGTGCGCGTCGTTGCTGAAGGTGAGCATGTTTTAAACACATGGAGCAACACGTTCAAACGAGAATGTTTGATTCCATTCTCCCACGACCTCACAGATTTTGATCCATCAGTCATCCACCGAAGCGGGCTCGCCGCCACCGCCTCCTCGCCCTCGCCCGCGAGTCCCCTGCCGTCAGCGCTGCATGTAGCTGTGGCCCTGCGTGACTGCCACTGCTCGGTCATCCCGAGACCAGCGGCGACTCATCTAGCCCACAAGGTACACCAAGTCTTTTCAACGATGACATGTAATCTCACACGACGTTGTTGCACTAGGTTTATTTAAAGTAATGCTGTGTTCCTACGCCTTGGTCTTCTTCTTCTTCGTGGCATGGCCTGCCGACGGCCGCTTGCGGGTCACAGGCGCAGGTTGGTCGTCGTCGTCCGGCACCGTCAAGGGGCACCGCTTCCGGCCGTGCGACGCGTAGACGAGCAAGTGGTGGGCGCAGGCCTCGCACCCGCCGCACTGCGTCTTCAAGCGGAACGACGCCCGCACGCAGCGAGCACCGATGTGCCGGCGCAGTTCATCACACACGCAGGCCCGGTGGCCGGCCACGCTACAGTACGCGCAGGTGTGATTCGGGCGATCCTCGAAAACCCGGTACTCCGGCGGGCCTACGCGCAAATGAGGTACATCCGGTGACTCTAACCTATGGTAAGGTACCTTTTGCAGTCTCGATGACCAGGTGCACCGGCGCAACAAAGTCGGCCGCGACGACGCCGTCTGCCGCGTGCTCCAGAAGGAGCCGGCACGCGGTGATCGCGTGTCCGGGCTCGTAGAAGCCGAAGTGCGAGCAATACTCGCAGCACAAGCCGACCGGCAAACGGTACGTCGTCGGCACCTGACCTCGGCTGACCGCCTTGCCGACGGTACGGCAGCGCAGCACGTTGTGGTTGGAGTCACCACAGTAGTCGCATGGCGTGGCGTTGAGGCGCTCCTTCTCCATCGTTCCCAACTCTGTGTAGGTCGGCAGCGCCAACGGCCAACAGCCCGCCGTCTTGGCCTCGAGGTCCTTCTGGAGGGCCTTGCAGGCGCGGGCCTGATGGTCGCCCTTGCAGTAGATGCACCACGCCGTCCAGCGGACACCGCGTCCGTGCCGGCCGTCGACGCTTTTGTACGTGGGTTGGCCCGAAGAGGTAATCTCAGCGATGGCAATAGCAGCTGATGGCGACGCGGAAGGGTTAATATGCATGATACCGTACGTGTCCTTTCTTGTGGTCGTAGGTGTAGGTGGTCGCGGGGAAATTGCGATATACACCTTTACACCGGGACGATAAACGAAACATTATTTCCGTCGAAATACCGGATTTGAATCATTTCAAAAATATGTGTAATAGTGTATATTCGTATGAAAGCAACGTGTATTAGTGTTTTTGGCAACAAATGTACATTGGGTGCAGCACGCCACCATGCTCCTACGCAGCCGCGCCACGCTGATAAGCCACGCGACCACAGACATCGTCGTCAGACCAGGCGGACCAGAGGCGCCATGTGGACAACGTATTCGACCCAGCCGTCTCGCTCGTGCTTATAGGCGTCATGGTCGCGGTCGGGCTGCTGTCGCAGGTCGTTCGCTCGGACCTTGACTTCTCATTCGGACATCGCGAGAGCCAAACGCTGTCCGGGTTCGCGTTATTCAGAGCCGAGTACCGGTATGCAGGAATGAAAGATATTGTACATTTTGTACGGCGTTGACTCGGTCCACGGGCTAGCGTCATATGCAACAGCGGCGTTCCAGCTGCGTTGTGAGATCCCACAAACACCGGTTGACCGGAGCAGCGAGCCCGTTTGGGTAAGCTTTTCGCGACGAGAGCTACATAGCCGCGAGTGTATGGCGCGGCTGCAGTCTTCGGCAGTCTCAGCGTCGGGCGAAGCGGAAGGCCGGCGATGGCTCCTGGTTTCTGAACGAATGCCAAGCCACCGCTGACTAATGTTGGTTGTGTTTGCATTTGTCCCATTCATCGGACGCCAACTTTGGTATTGTGGGAAGTCACTTTTGCCGAGAGCAGTCGGAACTGGGAACGAAGGACCTCTGTGAAAGCAACGCGAATAGGGGTTAATTTCGACAAAAATGGGAAATAAAGTAACGTATTGATTGATAAGGTCCAGCAGAATAGTAGAACAACCACGACGCAGATGTGACACAATCGCCGACGCCACGCTCATTTGTCGCGCTTGTGAGCGTAGCAAGCGGGAAACCGTTGCCTTCAGTGAAGGTGACATACCTGTACCTGCATTACTCTGGCCTTCAAACGTCAATCGAGGGACAGCTGGGACATGTATCAAATACGTATGCACTGGGATGATTTCTAAAACATTATTTCCGTCGAAAGAGGAGATTTAAATAGAGATATGTTTGCGTCGGAACGCATTCATGGGTTTCCCCGCGGCGAACGCAGCGACGCGAACAAGTCACCGAGGTAGCCGCAAGTGCGAAGGGTGTCCGACTCGGTGTTTAGTCGCGACGACAGATGATAGACAACTTGTCTGTTTTGAAAAGATGCAATTTGGAAGACAAGACAATAGATTGATTGTTACGACGATATACTATGCAAGACGACTTGGTGCTTACATGCTGTCGTCCATGTACGAAATGTCGTCCCACGGGTGGCGGTACAGCGGCTGCTTGAGGCGCTTCTGGTCGAGGTAGTGGCCAATGAAGCCGATCGAGCGGCCGAGCACAAAGAGGCCGTTGAGGCAGCCGTCGGCGATCTGCTCGTCGGCTTCCTCCTGCGTGAACGCGCCGCAGTTGCGCAAGAGGTCCACAAAGCAGACGGCGATTGCACCGTCGACGTTGAGAATCAACGTGCTGCGCTTCTTGGTCGTGATCTGCTCGACTTCGAGTGCAAAGTTGAGGATGTTGTTGGCCGGAAAGTGCTCGAGCGCATACTCCTTGATGATCGTGACGCGCTTGTCCGGGTTGGTCGTCGACTTGATGCGGTGGCCAATGCCCATGATGAGCTGGTTGCTCGCCTTCATCTTGTTGACAAAGTCGGCCGGCGACATGCCAGAGTCGTACGCCTTCGTAAACATCTCGGCCGCCTGGTCGAGCGCGCCGCCAAAGCGAGGCCCGACCGTCATGAGGCCCGAGACGAGCGAAGAGATAAGGTCCTTGCCCGCGCGCGCCGTCACGATCGTGTTGTGGGCGCCCGAGACGGCCGGGCCGTGGTCGGCGGTCACCATGAGCACCATTTCGATAAACTTGGTCGCGTACGGCGGGAGGCGGCGCTTGAACCAGAGGAGGCCGAGGACACCGCCGACGCCCATTTCGTTTTCAAAGACGTGCGAGATGGGCATGCCGGCGTACGTGAGCTCTTCGCCGCGGTCGTCCGTGATGGACGAGATAAAGTTGGCCGGCTTGCGGATCATGCCGAGCTTCTTGGCCCACGCATAGTCCATGGGCACTGCCGGCACCGGCACCTCGGGGCGCGGCACGAGCGCACCGGACGCCACGAGGCTGTCATACGTGGTCCGGATCGCCGTGCCAAACTGGTCAAAGTTCTTGGGGACGATGGCGCCGGCGTGCGCGAGCGCCGCGTTCTTGGCTTCGGCCGTCTCGGACTCGCCGGTCGCACACGCACCGGCGTGGCCAAATTGCACTTCGAACGGGAAGATTTTGGCGCAAGTACCAATGCACCAGGCGACGAGCGGCTTGGTGATGCGGCCGTCCTGGAGCGCACGGCACACTTCAAACTCGTCCGTGCCGCCGACTTCGCCGAGAAGCACCATCATCTTGACCTCCGGGTTCTCCTGGTAGCGGAGGAGGTGCTGGATAAAGGTCGAGCCTGGGTACTTGTCGCCGCCGATCGCGACGCCTTCAAAGACACCATCCGAGGTTTGGCTGATGATGTTGTTGAGCTCGTTACTCATGCCGCCCGACTTGGAGACGTACGCGACCGAGCCCGGGCGGTAGAGCTTGCTCTGGACAATATTGTCGAGCATGCCGCCCGTGTTGCCGATGCGGAGGCAGCCGGGCTTGATGCCGCCGACCGTCGCGGGGCCAATGAGGCCGACGTTCTTGGCGGCCGCGCGCTTGATGATGAGGCGCGTCTGCGACTCGGGCACGCCTTCGGCGATGATCGCATGCGTCTTGATCGTGTCGCTGCACGCCAGCGCCTCCATCGTCGACGAAAACACCGAGCGGAACGAGGAGAAGTTGACGAGCACCGAGACGTCCGGGTACTTTTTGACGGCCTCCTTGATGTCCTGGAAGACCGGGATGAGGCGCTCGGACGTGCCCCAGTAGAACTTGAGGTAGTGGTTCTGCGAGAACGGGAAGATCATGGCCGCGACCGACGGCGTCTCGCGCTTGCAGAGGTAGTCAAAGTCGAGCATGCCCTGGACCGCGCGCTGCTGCATGCCGTACACAATGCAGCGCGTGTGGGCCTCCATGCGCACAATGCCCTGGTCCTGGATGAGCGACCGGGCCGGCGCGCCATCCTCCGACGCAGCCGGCGTCGACGACTCGGAATGGGTCTTGGCGTCGCGCGACGGACCGGGCGACGCGGCCGGCGACGGCTCGATGGGCGTCTTGGCCTCGGCTGGCGGCGGCGGCACCTGGTCGTGGCCGGGTACCACGAGGCCGAGCGCCATGGGCACGATCGCCGTGATGTGCGTCTCGGGGCCAAACACGTGGATCGGCACGCCGGTGGACTCGCCCGTCTCGCGCATGAGGCGGAGACCTTCCTGGTAATTCGGGCCGGCGCGGCGGAGCCAAATCGTAATGTTGCGCTCCTTGAGCTTGTCCTGGAAGTCGGTGATGGCCGAGATGATACCTTTAAAGGTCTGCGCGACGTCGGTAAAGTTGGCAATGCCACCGCCGATGATGAGCACCTTCCCGCGCGGGTCGTCCTCGCGCGTCATCAGATCGAGGATCGTGCGCGCATACTGGTACGTGTGCGCCTCGGACGGCGCGCCAGAGTACTCGCCATAGTTGGCGAGCTCGTGCCCAAACCCGAGGTCCGAGATCGTGTCGGCGTAAACGACCGACGCGCCGCCGCCAGCGACCATGGTCCAGACGCGGCCGCGGTGGTTGAGGATCGTGAGCTTGAGCGACGCGCCCGTCTTGCCGTCGAGCTCGGCAATGTACGCCTCTTCCGGGAACTTGGCGCGGCCAAACGGCGCGGGAAATTCGATCTCGCCCCATTTCGTGCCGCAGAGGAAGCCCGCGGTCTCGTCGAGCTTGGCGGCCATGTCGAGCGGCACGATCTTGTCGCCAACCACCACGATCGGGTTGATCTCCATGTACACAAAGTTGAGGTCGCGGTAGAGCGCCAAGAGCGACGAGATGAAGCTCGCAATGATCGTCTGGCGCGCCGGCACGACGTTGAAGAGGAGCTGCGTCGCAATCTCGTCGACGGTCGGCGTGACTTCGAGCGGAATCTGGAGGCGGAGCGCCTTGGCATCGACGTCACCAACGTCGACGCCGCCTTCGTGGTGGAAGAGGATCTCTTCGCCGTTGCGGTTCGACTGGAGGCAGAGGTAGTACTCGTCCGTCGACGCGTGCGGCACGAACGGCTCGACGATAAAGTGGTCGAGGATGCCCGTGACGACCTCGACCTGGATCTCGCGGCTCATGCGCGCGGTGATCCACTCCTTGACCTCGGCCCACGTCGCGTTGAGGAGGAGCAGGTTGGCCTTACCGCGGCGCTTGATGAGCTGGTCGGGCTTGACGACGAGCTTGGTCTCGAGCAGCCACGGGTTCTCGCGCACGACCGAGTCAAAGTTGATCGAGGGCACCTTGGCGTCAAAGATGATGGGCGTGATCTGCACGAAGCGCGACTCGAGCGTGTGCGCGCCGCTCGAGTAGTCCGCCAGCCACTTGCCGAGGAGGCGCTTGCCGTCGTACTCGCGGATCGCCTTGGCCGACATGCTATCAGATCTTGTGGGCGGTTGACCGAAAAAGGAAAAGTGAGCTCCCAATCTTTGGACTCGCGAGTCGGCCAATCCGAGCGCCGTATCTTATTCGCCCAATCAGAGCGCGCCACTCGAGACCACTTTGGATTTCAACCAATCAGCGGCCATTTTGAAGTGACGCAGGAGGGATTTGGTGTTTTTCACGCGGCAAGACGTGCGCAATCAGATCGTTCGTGGGAGGCAGAAGCGAGGCGGGGAGGGTGTGACGCCGACGACGGCGCGGCCGCTAGCGCCCCGAGGAGCGCGCCCCCGACCCGCCCCACGACGTCAACGCTAGAGCTTACAGAGACGAATGCGTTGCCTCAATCTCCGCGGGCAATCGATGGCTGGAAAGGCTGGTTCGACGCCGAGAAGATCGTGCGGTCCGGCGGGGGTGTAATGACCACCTTCAAGAATGCATACATTTGTGCTATATCGAATCGGACGCTCGGCCAGTCTCTTGTGCTACAATGGGGGTTTTATGCACGTCCTTGCTTCGTCGCACGCGCCTTGGGCGTCCGAGCCAACGACAGGCAGCGCCGTAGGAATGGCTTGTCGTAGCCACGTTCTCGCGCCGACATTCCGCGTACTACTACAGGTAGTATGTAGCATGTGCCGGTCGTCAGCAAGGACACGCTGCGTCGCCACCTCCAACCTCTGACAGCGACGAGAGGTGAGAAACGTCTTTTCACCAATTCCCACGTTGATTTCCCACGGAATCCGGAGGCGCGTCCCCGGAAACTTTACTTTTTGGCCAATCAGCGGCGCTGACGTCGGCCGCGCGCGCCAGATTCGTACGATGACATCATGCAGACAAGACCACATGATGCATACGTGATCCGAGACCACGCGGCAGTCGCTACGCGGTGACGCGCAGTAGAAGCGAGGCCGCCGCTGCTGAAAAAGGCTCGCAAGAGGCCGAGAGGCTGCTTCAGCTCCTACGCTATGGCGTGCTGTGCCCAGGCGTCCTGCAAGCAATGCACCATGAGCTCTCGGATAGCTCCTCCGAAATCGTTGACATCTTTGAAGCGGTTGTATTGACGTAAACAGGGGTGGGCGCCACAAGAACCTTTCTCGGCCGAGGATGTTGACACGACAAGCCCGTCCCTGCGACGTCGCACCGCCGTCTTCGCCCGTGCACCGCACGTGCGCAAGCCCCGATAGCTTGTAGGGCAGCCACAAGTAGAGCCTTTCGAGAGGGATGGTCGGTTCGAGAAGCGTGGAAAGCGATTGCGCTTTCTTGCCGACCAGACGACAAGGACCGATGGCTGCCGTGCCACCGACTTCAACCTGCAGCTGGGTGGGTCAGTTGTGACGTCGACGCTTGCAACTGCATTCGTTCGGATGCGATTACCTAACGTGCCCCTACGTGCCCCGGCACGTGACGTCGATTGCTGCGAATTGATTGGCGCACAAGAATAGCGCGTCACGACGGGCTTCGTTATGGGCGACGACCGCAGCAGCTACGTCCCCAAGGCGGCGACGGACGCCGGTCCGCAGACGTACTTCGTCGAGCCGACGGCCTTTCCAACGCGACGCCCAGCGCCGGCCGTCACTCGCGTCGGCCATGCGCGCTACGGCCGCGAGTTTTGCCGGTACGTTCGCCTGTCGGTGCGGCGTTAACGCGCTGCGCAGCGCCCAGCGCAAGTCGTCAAACGCGACGCTGCCTCGGACGCGGTCGCTGAGCTTGGTGGTGAGCCCGACCAAGGCGCTTCTGCCTACGCGGTCGTCGGCGTCGCTGCAGCCGTCCCATGACGACAGCGCCAAGTGGCGTGTACTCGGAAACCATCTCTGGGACGAGGTACACGCTTGCATGGAAGCATGCGAGCTGCACTGTGTGGCGTAGAAGTGCAAGGCCCTCGCGAGTCAGCTCGAGACGCTCACGCTTAGCGGGGCCGCGACGTGCGCCAGCGAAGGCAGTGGTCGGTCGTCGCTCTCGGTGAGCCAACTGGGCAATCTCGATGCGTTTGTCAACGGGTACCTGCCCGTGCCGCGCCTCTCCTTGTCCACAGCGACTGCGCCGGCGTGTCCGTTCCGCCTCAGTCCCGCACGGCGCGCTTCGACGTGGCGGCAATGGCGGCAGTACCCAACGACGAAGCGCCTGCCGCAGCTGCTGCCCACCGTCTCGTACGACGAGCTGCTGCAGCAAACAAGTTATACGCGCGCATTACAGCTCAAACTTAAACGCGAGCGTGAACACAAATGAAAGCAAAAAGAGCAAGAGCGGTAGCGCCATCGTGTTGGACGATCCTATGCACAAGTTGTCAGTTAGCGTGACGACTTCAAAACCAATCGTGTACCCAACGACGACAGCGTGGCCGAGTTGTACTCTTCGACGACAAACTGCCCGGCGTTGATAAACTGCATGAGGAGCGCGGCATAGATGCCGTTGTTGTTGAACTTGCGCGGCGCGTCCATGAGGTCCTTGGCAATGACACCGGTCTACGAGCGACATCAGACAAGGTGTCCACAGTGAAAAGCGCCTACCACGGCGTATGGGAAAATGTAGATGGCGGCGTAGAACGTGCCAATGCCGACAAAGCAGACGAACGAGAGCGCGTGCGACGACGACCCGACCATGACGGCGATGCAGAACAAGACCACTAGACAAGAATTTCCATCCAAAACGACGAAAAAGCCGAGGAAGCCTACCGCCAACACACATAAAGCCGATCGTGAGGCAGTGCAGGCGGCGGCTCGACGGGTTAAAGGGCGTCACGAGCATAAAGCCCAATGTCGCAAACAGCTCGGCCGCCGACTAGGCACAAGAAGATATGAGTTGAGAAAGGAGGACGTGCGTACGATGCCCTGGACGGCCGATTTGGCTTCGTTCAAGCCTTGCGCGTACAAGTCGACTTGGTCTTGCGTGCACGGCGGGTCGAGTGAGAGCGCGGCGCACCCGCCGTACACATTGCTGCCCCACCACCTGAACTTTTGGTTGTCGAACGCCATCCACGCCATCCTGTATGTGCACGATACATGGAGAGACGCAACGTTTCCGTATGTACCAGAGAAAGAGCTGCAGCACGCAGAGGAGGCGGAGCTCGTACGGCGCCGTCACAATCGTGTCCCAGACCTCCGAGACCATGTGCCCCACAGTCGTGATGCGGCGCGTCGACGCGTCCTGCGGCTTCTCGGGCTGCAAATCTAAGCCAACGATGAGTCTCGGCTGCCACTCGGATCTTCGCACAGAGGGACGTGGCCACGGTCACGACAAGGACGCTGGCGACGATCGCGCACGTCTGGAAGAGGTTGCGCTTGTTGATCTCGTCGCCGTACACGACTTCGGTGCCGCCGCCAAGCAGCGCCATCCCGAGCGCGACGCCGACGCTGTGGTAGATGCCGCCGCAGGCTTGGGCATGTACCTACCACAGTCGTGTCTAGTGGGTAGCGTCGATCTTAGTGCTCTACTTGGTATCCGCGCGGAATCTCATCAAAGAGGCGAGTGCGCAAGACGAGCTAATTGATGGGCGTCATGCGATGTTCAGGGTGCGGTAGAGTAATACCTCGAGGGTCGTGGCGCCATGGACGAGGACGACGACGTTGAGGATGTGGAAGAAGAGGTGGTCGCCAAAGACCGTCTGCGAGCCGCCAAACAAGAGCACGCTCACGACGATGAGGACGGTGCCGACGAGGAGGCTCTTGTTGCGCCGGCCCCAAGACGAGTACGACCGGTCCGAGTGGCCGCCAATGAGCGGCGCGACAAAGAAGGCGTAGAAGGGCGGCAGGTACCGCGGAATGAACTTGGCGATGCCCATGGATGTCAGAAAGGACGTGAGGAGCTCAAAGACCGTGCAGTCTACGTAGCAGCGATGAGTATTGAAGGTAGTTCTTAGCGTACTCAGCAGCGTGAGGCCGACCCAGGGCAGCGCCAGAATTAGGCTCGTCACGACCGGGTGGCTGGCATGGCGCTTCTTCGGGTGCGACTGCAGCGTCTCGGCGCGCATAAAGGACACCGTGACAAGGCGCTCGGTCGGCGTCTCGACCGGCGTGAGGTGGGCCAAGACCTGGTCGTCGCTGCTACCGTCCTCGTGCTCCTGCGTGACGCTCGAGAGCTCGATGCGGAGGTCCTCGGACGCGTGGGCGCTGTGCCTGCTGCTGCGGTCGTCGGCGTCGCGAAGCAGGCGGACGCCAGGCTCCATCGCTCTCGGAAGGACAAGACGGGAAATATGAAGCATCCGGATACCCACTATCAGGTAATGGCATGTCGCAGCTCCTAACGTCAACTCTCCTGCATGGAAGGTCAATCCGCCGGTGGTCTCTCGAGCGCTTTGGTGCAGCTTGATTATAACCATTTGCTCATATTTATATATGTATCTGTAGACAATATGGGACAACAGATTGTCCACGTGGCACCGGATGGCGTGGCGGGAACATGCGAGCGCCGACGGCCAGTGTCGGTAGCGAGGGCTCGCGAAACTCATCGTGCACCTGGACGATACTTAACAACCGTAGCAGCGACGTCATCCAAGGCCCTGCACCGTATGCTCTACAGCGCGCTGCAGTCGAGCGATGCGGGGCTTGACCAATGCGATCTGACGCAATGGCGGGATCGCGCTTCCTGGCCTTACGTAGCGCGTTTACTGGGAGATGACGCCGGTTCAGCGCAAGTTAAGCACGTAGATCGGCGGTTCGACCCGTGCGTCCCTACGTATC